TCTCCAGGTTTGCCTTCCAGAGCCAAGAGGTCTGTTTCAGGCCTTCCTTTTTCTCTTCATGTCAGAGAGGGCACAATTTCTGGCAATTAGGTCTGAGGCACATCCATGAGTGGATGACGGAAGAGGAATGAGAGGAAAAGGTTGTTAGTGGATGAGGAGGTCAAGATACAGAGCCCACAGAATGACAGCAGGAACCAAAACAAACTCAGAGGCTGAGCCATGGACTGAAATCTTCACCAAGGGATGAGAGCCGTCAGGAGGAGTCAAGGGCTAGAGCCACAGGTGTGAGCCTCACAAAACTGGGTTTTCAACACAGGAGACATGGCAAGCAGGAATGAGGAAGGAGCAAGAAGGCACCAACCCCACTAGTGGCCCTGAGGTACTTGGAAAGTGACTGAGGAAACCGCCTCCTCTGGAGAAGGCTGTAGGGCAGGGAGTCTCCTGAGACAGTGAGGTTTGGAGAAGACCATTTAGTGGAGGAAATGTTCAGAAGAGCAGGGTCTGCAGACCAAAACCGGCAACTCAAAAGGGCTCAAGTAAGAAGATAAAACCAACTCCTCCACTCTGACAACCACCTGCCTACCCTTTGACCCAAATCTCTGCCGTTTCTCGGGAGGCCCTGAAGAGGGAGAAGTGGTGCTGCTATAACTGAAGGGTCACCTGAGGTGAAGGCATCTGAACCTGATGAGAGGAATGGACAACAGTGTGTACCAGTAGGCAAGGGTAGAACGTCTGAGACGTCCACTGGCAGCAGCCGCCACCAGCCTTCAGCAATTCTTCACTGCGTCCTGCTCTGTACCCGCTTCTGTAGTTGCAGTGGGACAGCAGGAAGCAGCAAAAGCCTGTTTTGAGTTCAGCGTCTCGTGTGAGCAAAAATCATATAATACTGAAAATTTACAGCCATAGAAAGTGCAAAGGACCCAGGGGCAGTGGCTCATGCCTGTAATACCAACACTTTGGGAGGCCGAGGTGGGCAGATCACTGGAGGTGACGGGTTTGAGACCAGCCTGGCCAACATGGCGAAACCCCGTCTCTACTAAAAGTACAAAAATTAGCTGGGTGTGGTGGCACATGCCTGTAGTCCCCAGCTACTCAGAAGGCCGAGGCACAAGAATTATGCCTCACCACCTTGGAGGTGGAGGTTACAGTGAGCCAAGATGGCACCACTACACTCCAGCCTGGGCAACAGAGCGAAACTCTGTCTCAAAAAAAGAAAAGAAAGAAAGAAAGTGAGTGCAAAGGGCTGGGCGCGGTGGCTCAAACCTGTAATCTCAGCACTTTGGGAGGCCAAAGGAGGCAGGCAGATTTCTTGAGCTCAGGAGGTCAAGACCAGCCTGGGCAATATGGCAAAACCCCATCTCTAGGAGAAATACAAAAAATTAGCCAAGCGTGGGGGCATGTACCTGTAGTCCCAGCTACTCGGCAAGCTAGGCAGGAGGATCGTTTGAGCCTAGGAGAAGGCTTCACTGAGCTGCAGTTGCGCCACTGCATTCTAGGCTGAATGACAAAGTGAAACCCTATCTCAAGAAAGAAAAAAAAAAAAAAATGCAAAGAAGTCCCTGGTGTTGTGAGAGCATGAAACGAAAGCCCCAACCTTGTCTGGAAAGCCAGGAGGGGCCCTGTGCAAGAAGCCCCAGCCGATCCTCATTATGAGAAGAGCTAGGGGGTGGGAAACAGGTGAAGGCCTGGAGCCAGCCAACAGAAAAGGCATCTGCAAAGGCTCAGGGCAGGGAAAAAACCACAGGGTTTAGGACAACCTGGCTGGAGGGAATGAAGGGCAGGGGAAGCAGGTTGTGAGCTGAGGCTGGAAAGGTCAGCAGGGGTCAGACTACTGAGGACATGGGAGGCAAAGGCCCCCTTAACCTGGCCAGAGGTGTAGAGCGAACGTGGAAGGATCTTAAGCAAGGGGTGGACACGAGAGGGTCGGCAATTCAAAAAGATGACTATGGCAACGACAAAGGGAATAGTTTGTGGGATACAAGAGAAGGCGGCAGATGTAAGGTGCAATTCAAAGGCAATATCAACATCATGGTTAGGATGCCAGGGTAAGTGACAGCAGGATCGCGGAGGTAACGCCCTGCTTTCTGGCCTGGGAACTAACTGGCTGAGCAACCAAGAAAAAGAGATCACCAGAAAGGACTAGATTTTGATTGTGCTGTGGGGGGATGTGAAGAGCCCAAGCATGCAGCGTAGGACATGGCGAGTTTGAGGGGCGTGTGAGATATCGGAGGAGAGACTGCTAGCCAGTGGCATTAGTTCCAAGTCGAGGTCAGGGCTGGAGGAAAAATGCAGTGGCCCTTTGGCCTATAGATCAGGTGACTGAGGGAGAGAGGACAACATAGAAGAGGGCCGATGGTCAAACCATGGGGCGCCCCAGCATGTAGACAGCCAGATCTGTACTGTGTCTCTGTGTCATGGCTACCCTCAGGAAAGGAAACATTTCAAAAGGGCAGAGGGTCATGTCAAATGCTACTGAGAAGTCAAAATAAAATGAGAACTGAAAAGTACTTTGGATTTAGCATCACGGAGGTCCTTGTGATCCAACATTTTCAGCTACCAGGATGTCCAAAGGTCTCTGTACAAAGGGCCTGGAATGGTTGACAACAGAATGTCAATCACTTCCCACCCAAGGACTTCCCAGTCACTGTCACTCCAGACAGCACAAGTTCTAGATCTTCTAGCAGGGCCCCCAGAGCACGACACATGCAAAACAAGCTGCTGAAACATGTGGAAAAAATATCATCACTTTCATTCCTTTCTTAGCTCAATTGTTTTAATGTCTATTTCTTGATTTTTTTTTTTTTTTTGCATTGGGGGAACAGTGTCTTGCTCTGTCACCCAGGCTGGAGTGCAGTGGCACAATATGGGTTTACTGCAACCTCCGTCTCCCAGGTTCAAGCAATTCTCCTGCCTCAGCCTTCCAAGTAGCTGGAATTACAGGTGCCCACCATCATGCCCAGCTAATTTTTCTGTTTTTAGTAGAGACGGGGTTTCACCTTGTTGGCCAGGCTGGTCTTGAACTCCTGACCTCATGATCCACCTGCCTCAGCCTCCCAAAATGCTGGGATTACAGGCGTGAGCCACCACACTCAGCCTATTTCTTGGCTATTTTTATATTGATTATAAAAATTTTACAATTGGTAAAAGTGATGTAGCGATGTGTGCGTGTATCTACATCTTAGATCCACGTATGTCGCGCATGTGTGCACATGCACCCTTCTCTGTGAGCCTGCACATAACGGCAGAGATGCTCAAAAGGTGCTTACGCTGGGGCATGCAGACCAACACCCCAGACCCCTGCTTCTGAGGCTCCATCCATCAGTGCTCTCGGCCTCAAGCCATCTGCACATGTGAGTTTCAGAGAGTGGGGTCACATTCTCTAAGTCTAGGAAGAAGCTTTTCCAACTTGGGTATCATGCATAGGAAAAAACACTGCTGTTTGCCCAGGGAAAAAGGGTGGTCACCAAAACCACTGGGCCGTGGGTACGACCAAGAGGGGGTGAGAAAGGCATCAGAGCAGCGGCAGCCAAGGCCTCCACATTGGGTACCACACACGAATGCTCCCCTGCTGCCATCTGCCAGCATCCCATTGCTGTTTCGATTGCCATAAAGACACCAAACTTCCACAGTCTACACTCTCAGGAGGAAAGAGGAATACCCACTGCTCACTCAGTCTCTGCAAGGTGGCTTCCAATAAATATACCAAGAGCCCCTCCTGGCAGAAAGATAGATCAGGATTTTCCAAGGGTAGATAAGAGACACTGCCAAGCCCTGGAGTAGCAAAGGGTGGCTAACACCAGTTCACATCTCAAACAGATGCAGAAAGACTCAATTACTTACTTGAAATTCATTTTCTTTCTGAGCTTGTTCGGATCCCTCTTTATTACAGGATCTCTATGAATGAGAAAAAGGAAACACTTCCAGTGAGATGGGGAACACTGAACAAACACTAACTTTGCAACCACCAGAACAGTCAGGGTTTACAAAACATCACAGGTCTTTAAGGAAGATTTCTCAGCCCACCGATGTGACGGGCAGCATCTAATGCACCAGCAGCCTCCAGCACTAGTACCAACGCCTTAGAAAGTGCTTCATTGCTTTATGAGAAAAGGGATGTGCTGGTGAGACCCGATAGCTGCACGTCTCACAGCCGCCCCATGTACCTTTCACAATTTCATTGTTAGAGGAAAGTCAATAGAGTGCACTCTTCCAATCAGGCCTTCTAAAGACAAGCGGTCAGGCTGAGTCTCTCACCAATTTAGCTACGTGGTTCTCTCAAGTCAACCTGCAAGAACAGGGAGTGTAAACATGCCTGTGGACAGCTGTGGTCAGCACAGAACTCGGACAGAGAAGAAAGCGCTGTGCAGGCAGGAAACCTGGCACAAAATCTGTGCAGACATGCCCTGCCGACTCGCCACTTTCCCGGAGTAACCCCTCTAGTTCAGTCGGTCACCAGCTCAAGCTGAACTGTTCCTCCACCATAAAGAGGACTGTGTGAATTTAATAAAGTCTCTAAAATTATTTCACATATTAATATATTAAGAAATACTTTTACATCACTTTCCTCAATGAAATTGCAAATTTATGGTAACCTGGATTCTAGCAATAACAACACACTAGATCATTAACTACCATAAACAACCCTTGGGCTACATTCTTCATGGCACAGATCATACATTTTAAGAGCAACCCCCCACCCCAAATGCTTTAAAATCCTTCGTACTATCTTTAATAAGGGAATGGGGAAAAGTAAAGTCAGAAACTTGTGTCATGACAAACTTTTATACTCAAACACTGCCTCTAAAAATGTTACTTGTTACAATTAAACTAAGTCTGCTTAAGCCAGACCCAAAAGGAATCCCATAAAGGAAACCTCTTTAAAAAAATTTAATGTAACAGATTCTTGAACATCCCATGAAAAACATACCTTTCCATTCCACAGCTTTATCAAAAATACCTGTACCAAGGGTGGAAAGTGTGGACAGGAAAAAAAATGCCACGTTAAGCAACACCAGCTACTCTAGCACCAATCAAAAACCTAGTGATTTAAAGCAACCACTCATCCATCACACACTGAAATAACATTCCAGACATTTTAATGCATGTTTTGTATAAACAGTACATGTTCTATCTTACTCAATACAAAACTAAACAAAAGAAGTACCCATGTTCATAAATCTATTTGCAAAAGACTCTTAATATTTGCACTGATACATATTCAATACTATATTTAGCATACAGTTAAGTATACTTGGTACAAAGTACAGAAAGTACAAATGGGGATTTATGATATTTTCATTTGTGTAATCTGCAGTTCTCTAATAAAAAGATGTTACACGTTAAATCCCGTTACAATGAAAGTTATAAAAATCAAAATACTACAAAAATGCTTTCAGATCTTTGCAGATGATTTGATGTGCGATGTGGTAAGCACTGGAAAGCTTCACTTCACCCTAATTCCAAATACTCTCGTGACTGCACTATTACCTTAGACTCTGCTTTGGTGGTCGCCCCTTCCAAGCAGTCTGTAAATTCCTAATGAATAGGGACTGCATCTTTTCTTGATGTTAGTCTTCTCCCAGAGCACCAAGCAAATCTTGATGCCCACTACACTTTTTAGGCTGCAAGAATAAATGAACGCTCCAGAGCGGTACAGCACGAGGCAAGTGAGCCCAAGGAGCTGCCTGGTGCCATGCAGCCAACCAGCAACAGCAAATTCCCATCCAGGATCTTGGTAACAAGGAAGCTAGCCGTGGGGTTAATTAGAAATGCCCCTTCAGAAGTCCTTGTGCTTTTTTCCCCAAAGAAACTTAAGAATAAAAAAGTTCTATGATATATTACATATTAATACTTTGCAGTATAAGCTTTAAGACAAATAAGAAAGTTTGATACTCTTCTGAAATTGTTGTAACGGGATTTGACCTGTACACAATTCTAAATGACTATGGTTATTCCTATGCTGTTGTTACTCTAACTGTATCTTCTTAGGGAGATACAGTTAATGGGTTATTTAGCCATCAGAAGTCCCTTTCCCTTATCTAATGGTGCTCTCAAAAGCAAGTTACTTCATCCAAAGTTAAAAATTGGCTGAGTCCCCAAGGCCTTGCCTTTCTTTAAACATATTGGCACTATAAGTGGTAGTAAATTCCATGATAATCTCCCCTGCCCACTCCCCCTCAGTCCACCTCCATATGAATTCATTACTTATACCAAAAGAGCACCATTATGAAGGCAAGATGGACTTCTGCAATATCCAGCCCTCTGTTCTGTTTCCTCAGTACAGAATGTTCAGTCTCCCTAAGTCCTGTAAATAAGAAGTGTAAGACCAGGAAATCTCAAACCAAGTGGATACTCATGGAAAGGTAAGAGAAGAACTTTTTCGTCCAGGAAGACAGGAAGTTAAATACATTTTGGGGCCCGGCGCGGTGGCCCACGCCTGTAACCCTAGCACTTTGGGAGGCTGAGGCAGGTGGATCATCTCAGGTCAGGAGCTTGAGATCAGCCTGACCAACATGGTGAAACTCCAACTCTACTAAAAATACAAAAAAATTAGCCGGGCATAGTGGCACGTGCCTGTAATCCCAGTTACTCAGGAGGCTGAGGCAGGAGAAACACTTGAACCCCGGAGGAAGACGTTGCAGTGAGCTGAGATCATGCCACTGCACTCCAGCCTAGGTGACAAGAGCAAAACTCTGACTCCAAAAAAAAAAAAAAATATATATATATATATAAGTATATATATAAGCATCTGTGGGATTTCACTTCAGTGACATAAATTCATTTGAAGCAGATATTAAAACACATTGTATATTTAGTATGACATCAAACTTTTCTCTAACAAGTTAATAAAAATTATCTTCTATAAGTTATAAAACAAAACTAAGCTTTTTATATTTATTAGAAATTTGAACACTGGTTATTTAATATTAAGTAATTATTAAATTTTTTAAATGTGAACATTACTGTGGTCATTTTAAAAAAATCATCTTGTATAGATACAGACTGAAACATTTACAGAATAATATAACACCTGGAATTTGCTTCAAAATAACCCTGGGGGAGTAAATGAGGGAAAAGATGGAAGAAGATTGGCTGGTGAGGGGAAGATGAAGAATGGACACTAGGGTTCATTATACTCTTCTACTTTAGGGTATATCTGAAATTCCCCATAATAAAAACTTTTAAAAAATAAACATTGAAATTTCAAGACCTAAGAAATCAGAATGTCTCAATTATGCCTAAGACACCCAACTCCATAAATATACTGAAAACCACTGAATTCTACACTTAAAAGGCACATAATAATAAAAAATATATTGCCACTGGCTTCCTCCCACCTTTCTTTCCTTCCTATTTTGGGCTTAGTTTTCAAGAGAATCTTAAGTTAGAGTCATATATTCATTAGCCTGTGATGTAGGAAATAAAAGAGGCTACAGTGACGGCATTAATAAAGGAGGCGTAATTACGATTTTAAAGTTAGCTTTTAAGAGGTGAAACTTTAAAAAAAAATTTGGAGACTGGGTCTCGCTCTGTCTCTCAGGCTGGAGTGCAGTGGCAGGAATAGGGCTCACTGCAGTCTCAACTTCCCCAGGTTGAGCAATCCTCCTGTCTTAGCCTCCTAAGTAGCAGGACCACAGGCATGTGTCACTATACCTGGCCTTTTTTTTTTTTTCTTGTAGAGGTGGGATCTCACTGTGTTACCCAGGCTGCTCTTGAACTCCTGAGTTCAAGTGATCCTCCTGTCACAGTCTCCCAAAGGGCTGAGATTACAGGCATGAGCTGCCATGACCAGCCTGAAAAAGATCTTTTGATTGGCCAAGAACTTTTAAATTTAAAAATGAAATTCCTGAAAGTCTAAATTATATTAGCTAGGGAGTAAAATGAAAAAATAGAGGACTTACATTTTTACTTTAAATACTTCTATACTTTAAAAAGTGCTTAAAAGCTTGTATTATTTTTATAATAAATACATTTGGTGCAAGGTTTCAAATGTTTACTTTTCTAACAAAATTGCATTTTAAGGCTTTGGGTTTTGTTTTGTTTTTTGTTTTTGATACAGCGTCTCATTCTGTCACCTAGGCTAGAGTGCAGTGGTGCGATCTCAGCTCATTGCAACCTCTACCTCCTGGGTTCAAGTGATTCTCCCACCTCAGCCTCCTGAGTAGTTGGGATTACAGGTGTGCGCCACCACGCCCGGCTATTTAGGCTTTGTATTTTAAATGAGACTATGAAAAGCAGTAAATGTTCATATTATAGAGCACGGGTTTTCAAAATGTTCTACTTCATGCTTTAAAAATAAAATGGGCCAGGCACGGTGGCTCATGCCTGTAATCCCAACAGTTTGGGAGGCCGAGGCAGGCAGATCACGAGGTGAAGAGATAGAGACCATCCTTGCCAATATGGTGAAACCCCCTCTCTACTAAAAATACAAAAATTAGCTGGGTGTGGTGATGTGCGCCTGTAGTCTCAGCTACTCGGGAAGCTGAGGCAGGAGAATCGCTTAAACCCAGGAGGCTGAGGTTGCAGTGAGCCAAGATCACACCACTGTACTCCAGCCTGGCGACAAAGCGAGACTCCGTCTCATAAAATAAAATTTAAAAAAATCAATAAGTAGTAAGACAACTCCAGGACCAAGAAGGAAGAGACATCTCTTTATTGTATTTTGTGTTATATAATTTTAGGATTCAAAAACCTACTTTAAGTTACCTAATGTTCCACAATACAGCAGGTGTATTTCTTTTAACCTATTTAAGCCATTAGACAGAATAAACTTACTTGGCCAGTACTTAATGAAAGACTTCTCTAATACTGAGGGAAGTAGGTTTATGACTAAATGAATAAAGCCCCACTGGGAGATGAAACAAACCAGCACCTCAGTTTTCTCTAGAGTCTGT